CATGCTGCCTCCTCCCTCCAGGCTCCCAAAACAGACTGAGTGGAATTCTCATGACTGACTTCGAAATCACATTTCAAGGCTGTGGTGTTGCCTTGCACAAGTGTGAGGCCCTGAGTTCAATCCCCAGTACCACAAAAACAGACAAAATCACATCTCAGATAGGCCACCAAAAAGTTACTCTTTTAAGATCAAAAGAGCCCTTCAGAGTTGGTAAAAAGCTTTAACTTGTAACTATTACTGCTTAGAACCTTGCTACCTCTGCCATGGTTAGAAATGTTCTAGTATTAAGAAATAGCCATTGGAAGGTAGTCACCTTCATCATCGCTGTTGCTGATTCTAAATCCAACCCAGACCTCCCACAGCCTGTACTACAGAATAGATGCCCTGCAAAGTCCTCCCTCCCTTCCAAAAGAAGGTCTCACTTTGTAGCTTTGGTTGGCCTAGGACTTACTGTGTAGATCAGACTAGCCTTGAACTCAGATCCATCCACCTGCCTCAGCTTCCTGAGTGCTGGGATTAAAGGTGGGTGCCACCATGCCTGGAAAGTCTTTTATTTTATAATGATATATCTTTTAAATACCTATAATTGGTATTTTACCCTGATGAATTAAATAGTCTGTCCCGAATTTCTTCACATTTAAGTATGTTCTGTGGATAAAGGCCTGAATGAGGAAGTAAAACAAAGACAACTGAAAATGAGCCTCCTCAACTCAGGCAGGGCAATGTTACCAGATACTACAAAGTGGACAGATTAAGTGGACATTGAAAGGCAATAATTGGATTTGGTGGTGCTTAATATTATTAGTGTTCTTGAGGTCTAGACAAAGGAGGTTCTGAAGCTAATTGTAGAAAGTACAAGTAGAAGAGAAAGATTAGAGCTAGAAGATAGGTTATTTTGGCCCAGTGCATGTGATTTATATCCTAAAATTGCATGGAGGTAGTAGGACCATCTGTTAGGAAGTTCTTCACTTTTGCATTTTTTTGTAGCTTGATGATGTGCTGTGTGCTGTTAACACCTTTCCCTTCTGCTTAGAGATGTGACAGGTGCAGCAGTGCTTCAATGTCCCAACCATTGGCTGCTGCACTTTATAAACAGACAGTAATCACTGTTGTAGTTGGGAATTACAGTTTAAATTCCTGATGACTGATTAAACATGTTAGTGTGATTATTTTGGAGAACTGGGCATTGACTGGATGAATTAATTTTTAGCATGGCTTATTTGAACTTCAGTCAGTGGTAAGTATTTTTTTTTTTTTTTTTAAAAAGCAAGTTAGGAGAATTGCTTTTATAGAAAGTGATGTTGGGTGCATTTCTTTATATTATATAAGATCTAGGCCTTTAATTATTCTAAGTAAATTTCTGGCTATGTCAATTTCATTAGATTCTGCAGACAGAATAACTCTTGCTTCCCTCTTGGGGATGGTATTGGTAGATTATGTACACATTATGCAGCATTATTTTCTAAACAGTACTTAACATGACTAAAACAGGTTCACGCCCAGGGGCAGTGATTTAATGTTCTAAACTCTCACATTAGATTTGGAGCATATTTATTGTAGTCTAATTCTAGTTTTTGTATATTTCAGGCCTTGTGTGATGGTCTCTATGAACTTTGGTTTTAAAACAAATCCATTGTGTTATGCAAAGGAGGAGAGTCTGAGAAATGAAAATAGAATTGCTAAACAAGGTCCTGAGTGGGAGAGAGAACCCTGGTGGAAGGGCTAGCTCTAGATGAAGAGAGGATTCTGATTTCTTACTTGTTTTTCCTGTAGGGGACTGTTTCACTTCTAATTACCATCTCGTTTTAGTTAGTTTGGGAATCATTTACACAGTGAGATTCCTTGATTCTGATTTACTTGGGATGAGTATAACTTTGGTTATAATGGCTGAGTGGTAATTTTATTTTTTTTTCTAGTCTCCAATAATAAATTTAATAATAATGAGTATTTTATTGTTGCTTTTCCATAGACTCTTTTTTCCTTCTTTCCTTTTCTTTTTAGACAGGGTCTCATGATGCAGTGCCTTGGTTGGAATGAAACTTGGTATGTAGACCAGGCTGGTTTCAAACTCAGATCCTTCTGCCTCTGCTTACTGAGTGCTGGAATTAAAGATACACACCACCACACCTGGCTCTTTGATTTTATTTTAAGTTTTAAAAATTATTTGTTTACTGAATTTTTTTATAAATACTTCTTAAGTTTCTGGTAGACTTTAGACTTTATAACATATTCGCTTTAATAGCTGTTAGTTAAGCAGAAAGAGCCCAAACCTTCATTAGAAAAACTGTTCTACAGTGATTTTCTGAAGTTATGTAATGCTTAGTAGGAGAGAGAGAGACATTGATCTCATGATTCTTAGAGTAATTAATATTCTTTCCTTTAGGAAGCTACCCTGTTTTCTTTTAAAAGCTTATTTGTCTATTTATTTATTACATGTGTTGGGGTAGGGATGGGATATGTGTACATACTAAGGCGTGTATGTAAAGGTCAGAGGACAACTTTTAGGAGTCAGTTCACTTTGCCTTTGAAGCAGAGTCTCTCTTGTCTGTCTCAAGAGCTGCTGGGTGGTTCTCCTGTGCCCTCCTCTCATCTTACTGTAGAAATGCTGGGAACAGCCGGGCAGTAGTGGCGCACGTCTTTAATCCCAGCACTCGGGAGGCAGAGCCAGGCAAATCTCTGAGTTCGAGGCCAGCCTGGGCTACAGAGTGAGATCCAGGATAGGCACCAAAACTACACGGAGAAACCCTGTCTCAAAAAACAAACAAACAAAAAGAAATGCTGGGAACATTTCATGTGTACCCTTCCATCCAGCTATTTAGGATTGCACACAAATGTTTTCACCCACTGAACTTTCTTACTGGCCCCTTCCTTACTGCCTTTTATTTGTACATGGTGTGTATTTCAGTGCATAGACTTGTGTTTGTCCTTTTGGTACATGAATAGCTCACAAGAACTTCAAAGCTTGACTTACTGGATTTTTGTTTTGTTTTGTTTTGGTTTTTTTTTTTTTTGTTGTTGTTGTTGTTTGTTTTTTGAGACAGGGATTCTCTGTGTAGCTTTGCACCTTTCCTGGAACTCACTTGGTAGCCCATGCTGGCCTCGAACTCACAGAGATCCCCCTGCCTCTGCCTCCCAAGTGCTGGGATTAAAGGTGTGCGCCACCACCGCCTAGCTGATTTACTGGGTTTTTTATTCCTTCAACAAATAGGTCACCAGATGTTTACTGTTTTAGATCTCAATTGAGCATTAGCAAGTTCTCAGACCTCATATAGGAGCTGCAAAAACTCCTAACAGAAGTTCAGCCAGTTACAAATGCTCTCACGGAGACCAAACAGAAAGAGTATGGTAGCAGGATCATGTGCTTTAGACAGACTAATCAGGGAAAGGGTTTCTGACAAGTGTCATTTGAGCTGAGACGTAAATGATAAGAATGTGTCAGCCATGTGAAGAGTAGAGAGGTCCAGGAAGAACTCATGATAAACTTGACACGGCTGAGGAATGGAGGAAAAGTGAACACTGGGGGGAACAAAGAAAGAAAGAATCAGAATCAGGATACTTGGGGCACTGTGGTTTAGAGATGAGCTTTTATTCTCAGACAAAGGGTATGATTTGGAGCAGAGGAGTGACTGACTGGAGTCTGATGAAAAGATCACTCTTGGTCTGAATTATGGCTCTGTGGCAGAGCACTTATCTACTATGCATTCATGCACAAGGCTTGAGTCTGATCCCCAGCATTGAAAAGAAAGAAAAGGTCACATCTTTTGGTGAAGAATAGATTGTAGGAGAGTAATAGAAGCAAAGACACTAGTTAAGATATTGCCATGCTTGTCTGAACAAAAAAGTTACAGTGCTTGGATTTGGGTGATACTGGTGAAGGAAAGAAGTAATTAAATTTTAGATTTTATCTTTAAAGATTTTCTGCATTTGCTAATGAACTGGATGTATAAGAAAGTGGCAGAAAGATGGTAAGGGAGAGAGAAATAATGGTAGACCAAGGGAAGAGCTTGTAGAAGAGGAAATAAGATTTTTTTTTTTCTGGAACTTTTTAAATTTGAGATACCTACTGGATATCCAGAGAACATTTACATTTAGCATGGAGGAGGGAAGGTCACGCCTGCAGACACAGAACTGGAAGCCACTAGTATTAACACTCTATGCTGCAGGAGTTTATAGAAAAAAAGAAGGGGTAGTCCAGAACTGAGCCCTGAGGCAATTACAGCATTGTAGTGAGAAGGGGATGAGCAGAGTGGAAGACATAGGAGGAAAGCCAGAAATAGTATGTTGTAGAATCCAAGAGGAGGGAGCTCGTGAAATGTTCACACTGTTAATGATGCTGCAAGGGTGGCTATAGTAAGACCAAAATTGAACATAGGACTTAGTAAGCCAGCATTTATTGACATTGGTGACCTTGGTTAAAGTAGTTTCAGTGTCACACTGGGATCAGGAGCTGGTTAGAGAGGGCCAAAGAGTGGATGGAAAGTGAGAAAGAAATTTAGAAGTGGAGGTTTGGCAAGGGAGAAGAGGTGGGATTAAGGATGATTAGTTGCTTCTTTTGTTTGTTTTAATGGGGAAATGTTTTTTGTGTGCTGATGAGAGAAACCTGGTCAAAAGGAAAGTTAATGCTGATTCAGGAAAGGGATTAATTGCAGGAAAATTCTTGAGATGGTACTTGTTGGACAGAATGGAGAGTGAGTACCTTTTCATAGGGGAAGGATGCAGTGTTGTATTAAGACCTCATGTGTCTAGACATAGCTCCTCCCTTCAGTCTTTTTTGTTTTTAAACATTTAGGTTTTTTCTTAATTAAAAAATACACTTTGCTACAGAGTTCTCAGGAAAAACTCATCACTTTAGCCACATCCTCCAGTCTTACTAGTCTCCTTTAGACCACCTTGACCTCTCTGATCACTAGTTCCTTTTTTCTCTACTCCATATTAGCCTTCTTTCAGACTGAATTCATATGCATATATAAGCCTTGGATGGTATAAGGAAGGATATTTAATACCAATTTAAACTTTTGTGCCAACAGATGAAGCAAAAAATTTATTGCCATATCTTGGACCCAACAAAATGCGAGATTGTTTCTGCACTATAAATTTGGACCAAGAAGAAGTTTATCGCACCCAGGTTGTTGAAAAGTCTTTAAGGTTGGTAGAAAATAACAAATTACCATTCATTTGATATGTATTCATAGTTTTATGTATTTTCCAGATTTTTATCAAGTTGATATTCTTGAATTTAAACTACTGTTTTTATTTAAAGATTTTCTTTTCTATTATGAATTTATTTTTAGAATTACAGGATGTAAGCATTTGAAGGGGCCTTGAATGTTCAGTAAGTTAGGCTAACAACATCATCGGCTCCTTAACAGTAGCTTTGGCTAGGGGTCCTGTGGCATCTGCTTAATAATGTTCCAGTCACCAAGAAGTTCGTGCTTCCTAAGCAGTCTGCTTGGTCTTTGAACTGTTCTGACTCAGAAAGTGCTTATGTTTAATTGCTTAATGATTATTAAAATGACATCCAACCATGTACCAAGCTCTGCTCATTTCTGGGTTCTGTTTACGCGTCTGTCTGTGAGAATGACATCAATGCAGTGCTTGCTTTCTCGTGGCTTTTCATTGCCTTAGGAAGTATTTTTTCTGAGTTGTCCTAGGAGGTCCCTTAGATTTTCTGGGGAATGAGTTTAGTTCATCTTTTGTATGACACTATTAAATGTTTGAAAACTATTGTAAGACTTGAGTCTGTTTTCTAGGCTAAATTTTGCCTATTTATTTGAGCTTTCCTCAAAGTGCATCATTTTATTTCTCCAAAGAATAAATTAATTTTTAAAATTTATACAAGTTGGAGCTAGAGAGATGACTTAGTTGGTAAAGTACTTGGTGCATGAATATGAGGATTGCCGTTCCATCCCCAGCACCCATGTGAGAAAGTCAGGTGCAGTAGTTCCCACTTGTAGTCCTAGTGCTGAGGACATGGAGATGGGAGGATCCAAGGAACTGGATGGCCAGGTAGTATAGCCAAATTGTTCAACAAGAGCCTTTGTCTCAAAAAATAAGTTGGAAAATGATTGAAAAAGAAACCTAATATCAACCTCTAGCCTACACACCCTTTACCCCTGTACCTACATATACACAAGAACACACATACACACACACTCACTCACTCACTCACACTTGAAATTAACTTATTAGTATATTAATAGGGGATAAGCCCTTGGTAGGTTGTTTTCATCTTTGGAAGTTAATTACACTTTGAAAGTATCACAGCAAATTCTTAATTTGCCTCCTCTGCCTTGTTGCAGTGTTTGGAATTCTGATTTAGGATTGTGCTAAAGCCAGATATCATAACACATGCTTTCAATCCCAGCAGGTCTCTGTTGAATTTGAGGCCAGCCTGGTCTACATAGGAAGTTCCAGGCCAATCAGGGCTACATAGTGAGAGCCTGTCTCAAAAACAAACAAACAAACAAACAACAAAAACCAAAACAAAATAAAAAAACAAGTTGTAACTTGTATTTCATTCCATTGGATTTCTGGAATATGTTTTGGTACTGTGTTTACCCTGTCTCCTTATTCTTGCCTGTCTTCCCCTCTGCAGTTTGCCTATGTCTTCTTTCCTCTTCTTCCTTTCTCTCTTCTCCTCTTTCTTACACCTTCCCTTCCCCTTTCTTCCTCTCCTCTTCCTCGGTACACAGGGTCTTGCTATGTAGCCCAGGTTGGCCTTGAACTCTTACTCCTCCTACTTCAGCCTCTGAAATGCCTGTGTTGTAGGCATACCCCTCTGCGTGCCCTTTTATGTCTTTTGGTTCTTATAAGTTTGAACTCTTCATAAGGAAAGTATTATATAAAACTAAAGTAGGCCAATGTAGAGGGTTAGTCAGTAGTTTGTAAAGATGTCAGCTGTCAAGCTTGACTACTTGAGTTTAGTAACTGTAGTTGGAGTTTTTATGTGCCCCAGCAGGTGCTCCCAAATGTCTACTCAGAGACTTATCATTAATTATGAATGCTAGGCCGATAGCTCAGGCTTATTACTAACTAGTTCTTAGAACTTAAATTAACCCATTTCTATTAATCTATGTGCTACTCCGAGGCTCGTGACTTTTACCTCTGCTGCATGTCTTGCTTCCTTTCCTTCTGGCTGGTGACTCTCTCACTTGGCCTTTCTTCTTCCCAGCATTCTCTCTGCCCCACAAATCCTGCCTAGCTATTGGCCAGTCAGCTTTTTATTAACAGAGCAATACATATTTATAGTGTGCAAATATTGTTCTATAGCAGGTGTCCAGAGCCCACATGGTGAAAGGAGAGAACCAACTCCCACTGGCCGTTCTCTGACTTCACAGTTGTTCCCCCTCAAAAAAGAAAAAATAGTAGCCCATAAAGTTTGGGAATGATACACTTCAAAGATTTTGTCATAAGTCATATACTTATATTAATGTTTTTCACATTTGTGCATACAAATTCATACATGTCTTTTTTATTTACATTTATAAATGATATAATGTCACCAAAAGTCTGAATAATTTGTCACATAATGAATGAAGTTAAAGGCACAGCAGGCAGGGATTTGAGACCTGAAATTATTTAAATTTCAGTCTGTTACAACAATTTTATATCACAAGGTATTCAGTGATAAAATTAAATAGTAATTGTCCATAAGTTGGGTACTTGTAGTTTGTAATATGTAGCCATATATATGAAAATAACCAGAATTAGCTTATATTTTTTAACCTTTAACCTTTATGAATTTTTGTGTAGCAGAAAACGATGAAATCAGTTTTCTTTATTTCTTTATCCACCTTTAAAAATAAGAAAATAATTTGAAAGATAATTTAAAGCTAGCAGTGTTACTACCATAGACACTTAAGAGTATAACTAGTTAGATTAGATAATTCTTAGATTCTGAGTGTCCTCTAATTTTTCCTTTTAGAATGGGGCAAAACAATATGTATTAAAAACCTTTCTACATCTTGATTTTATTATAATGTTCTCAATATTTATATAAGTTGAGATCAGTCATTCAGATGAAAGTAGCTACATGGTAGATCTAACTTCTCCCTCTGAGTTTTTCTTTTTGTTCTTGATCTTTAGTTTTTATAACTTTGAATTATGAAACAGAAAATAGTGTAGAATTCCCAAAAGAATTATGTAATATATTCTTCTTTTAAACATCTCTAAATGAAAGCAAAACCCTTAGTAATTAAAAAATTTAAAATAGGAGAAGACTCAGATATTTCATTAAAAGATGATATACAAATGTCTTGAAGACACATGAAAAGAGATCAAGCACACATAGCCTGAAACCATTTTGTTAATATTAGGATTTAATGAGTAATGTAATGATAGAGCTTTCACCAGTTGACTTACAGTGTGATGGGGTAGTTGCAGAGGGCACAAGGGAAGTTTCTGGGAGATAGGTCTTATTTTTAATTCAATCTTTGAAAATTCTGTGCCCCCAAATAATGACACAGCGATTTATTATTAATTGTGAAAGCTTGGCCTTTAGCTTAGGCTTGTTTCCAACTAGCTCTTATAACTTAAATTAACTTGTTTAATTAATCTACATTCTGCCGTGTGGCTTTTTACCTCTTCTCCATTCTGTATGTCCAACTTCTTCCATGTCTGACTCCCTTCATGTCTTGCTGGTGACTGATGCACCTAGATTCATTCTTCTCTCTGTCTGAGAAAGTTCTGCCTAACCTCTCCTGCCTAGTTATTGGCCATTCAGCTTTTTTATTAAACCAATCAGGTGCCTTAGACAGGCAAGGTAAAACAGCGACACATCTTTACAGTTTGCTCAAGTATCTTGCAACAACTATACATGAATGTATTGTTTTTAAATCATACCCCTTGCACACCCTCTGAACACCTTCTAATAAGTACTCCTGTTTTCGTGAATGTATGTGACCCACTGAGTTTAATTAGGCCTCTTGCATAAGCATGGGTAGGACATTATTTCCTGGAGCACAGAGACTAACCAACAGCTGCACCACCGAAGAAAATGATGTTCTGTTCTAGTAGTCATTGACTGCCAGTGGGGCCTCCCAGGCCTTCCCCAACCATGTTGAGTCAGTTGATAAAGTGCTTCCTTGAAAGCATTGAGAACTTCATTTTAGATACTTAGCAACCCATGTAAAAAGCCAAACACTAGTGATGTAATCCCAAGACTGAGGATGTGGAGACAAGAGGATCCCTGGGACTTGCTGGCCAGTCAGAATAGCCAAATCAGTGAGCTGCAGGTTCAGCAAGAAACCCTGTGTCAAAAATAAGGTAGAGACAGATGGAGGAAGATGTTCAATTTCAACTTCTCAACTCCATACTGATGCACCCATTTCACACATATGTACACACAAATCAAATCACTGAGTCTGGGGAGTTAGCTCTGTGAGTAAAGTGTTTGTCGTGCAAGCATGAGAACCTGAGTTTGGATCCTCAACACCTATGTAACAAGCTGTTTGCCATGGCTTGAAAATGATCTGGGCCTGTAGGAACAGGGAAATCCAGACTCAGGGAAAGACTCTGTCTCAAAAAATAAGGTGGAGACAGATTGAAGAAGACACTCAACTGTAGCAGGAATCTTAAAAGTTCTTATTGGCCGGGCGGTGGTGGCGCATGCCTTTAATCCCAGCACTCGGGAGGCAGAGGCAGGCGGATCTCTGTGAGTTCGAGGCCAGCCTGGTCTCCAAAGCGAGTTCCAGGAAAGGTGCAAAGCTACACAGAGAAACCCTGTCTCGAAAAACAAACAAACAAAAAACAAAACAAAACAAAACAAAAAATGGAAAAAGTTCTTATTAATAAAGTCAAACCCAAGGCCAGTTATTGGGGTAGATCAGAGAGACAGAACAAGCCACAGCTATCTCACCTCGCCGGATCCTCAGCTGGTCTTGTCTCCTCAGACTGGAGGCCTCTGAGTCCTCATCCAGAATGGGTCTCAGCTGAACTGCTGCTCGAAAGCCTGAAGCTTAACCAAGCCAAATGCTTCTAGTTTCTGGTCCTCACGCCTTATATATCTTTCTGCTTTCTACCACCACTCCCTGGGATTAAAGGCTGGCTTTCTGGGATTAAAGGTGTGTGTCACCATGCTTGGCTATTTCCAATGTGGCCTTGAACTCACAGAGATCCAGAGGGATTTCTATCTCTGGAATGCTAGGATTAAAGGTGTGAGTGCCACCATTTTCTAGCCTTTGTATTTAGTGGCTGTCTGTTCTCTGACCCCAGATAAATTTATTAGAGTACACAATATTTTGGGGAACACAATACCACCACATTTCCTCTCTTTTTGTCTAAAATTAAAAAAGCTTATAACTAATACAAGAAAAACTATCTTCAATAAGTATATGCAATATACAGTCAAGATTACATTAACAATGTCTAGTCCATTAACATTTGATAAACTCAGACCAAAAAATTTTCATTACTTATCTTATTTAAAACAAGTAGTTCCTTTTTAAAAGTAGATTCCATAATCTCCCTTTTTATCTTATCATATCCATACTCAACATTGATAGACTCACACCTGCACACATATGTACACACATACACACACATAGGAAGAATTCTTATCACTGGACTAAAAATATAGCTCAGTGATAGAGTACTTGCCTAGCATATACAAGGCCCCAAGTCTAGGCCCTGGACTCCCCCAACCCCATAAAACTAGTTGTTTGTGTAAGGTACTATTGGAGCATAAGGGAACTTTCTAGGGTGGTAACAGTGTTCTATATTTTGATTGATGTGGAAGCTACACAGGTTTGTAAATTTATCAAAGGCCACCAACCTCCATAGATAAGATTTGATAATATGTAGTTTATAAATAATTTGGGAAAGATAATAAAAATATTTAATATTCAATATTTATAGTACATTTGAAAATATTTTATATAGCATTATCCATTTTAGGTGTTAGGTATTATTGTGATCAATACAACTTTATGTAGTTATATATTTCTAAGATAATAATGTGAATGGCTTTGTTCTTGACTCTCATTTAGGTCTACTTAGGTGACCATGACCTAGGCAGTTACTAGATCTTCTGTCCACGGGACCTTCTGAAAAATTATGTGTTTAGAATTCTTTTAACACCTGAGGTCTTTTTAGTTCAGCTTAATTTGTTTAGGATCTCAATACTAAAACAATATTGAGAATAATTTTGGAGTTTTTGAAGTTCTTTTCTAAAGAATTTAGTTTATAATTTCATTGATGTTTATTGAAAGTGACATTTGAATTGATTTTATTTAACAGGACTTGATTTTATTTAACAGGACTATTTTAATAGTGGTAGTAATGAATTATTTGATAGTAATAATAAATTATATATTATTTGGCATAATGAGCTTTCTCTTTTCTCTCTAGACCATATTTCAGTGAAGAATTTTACTTTGAGATTCCAAGAACTTTCCAGTATTTGTCGTTTTATGTTTATGATAAGAATGTCTTACAAAGAGATCTTCGTATAGGTAGGTACAATTCTTTTTTTTTTTTTTTTTTTTTTTTTTTTTTTTTTTTTGGATACAGGGTTTCTCTGTGTAGCTCTGGCTATCCTGGAACTCACTTTGTAGACCAGGCTGTCCTCGAATTCACAGAGCTCCACCTGCCTCTGCCTCCTGAGTGCTGGTATTATCAAGATAAAATATTTGTAAAATGTGGGTGCTTAGAATCAAACCCAAGTCCTCTGAAAAATAAATCATTGCTCTTGAATGCTGAACCATTTCTTCAGCTCCCCGCCCTCCTTTGTCCCCCGTGAAGATTGTGTCACTATATTTCCCAGACTGGTTTTGAACTGGTGGGCTCAAAGGATCATCCTATCCCAGTCCCCTTAGTAGATGGCATTACAGCATGCCCCATCAGCCCTGATCTATCACATTTGTATTGTAGATGTCTACAGACTTGTATTCTTTCTCATCACTGTAGTCAGAAGTTTTCCTATGTTCAGCCTGGCTCTGAGCAGTCCAGACAAATCTCTGTTACCCTTTTCCTGCAGCTGCTTATAAAATAATCATTCAGAGGCTTGATATTAGTTGTAAATTATATAGCCTATGGCTCAGGCTTCTTACTAGCTAGTTCTTATAACTAAATGTAGCCCATTTCTATTAATCTATATGTCACCACGTGTTCTGTGGCGTTACCTGTATGCCATTATGTGCTGTTCCCCAGACAGTGGGATGGCATCTCCTCCACCTCTGCCTTTCTTCTTCCTGACTCTTTCCTGGATTTCCTGCCTGCCTCTAAGCTGCCTTGCCATAGGCCAAACAGCTTTATTTATCAACCAATCAGAGCAACACATATTCACAGCATACAGAAAGACATCCCATAGAACATCCCCTTTTCTTTCTAATCAAAAAGGAAGGTTTTAATTTTAACATAGTAAAGTTAATGTAATAGAACAGTTATCAAGCAGGAATTACAGTTACAATATCTAAAAGGCAGGGAGACAAAAAAAGGAGAGGCACAGGCAGAGAGTCGCCAGCCTGCCGCCCAAGGAACAACATGCCAACAGACTGGTAAGCCACAGAACACGTGGCAAAACATAGACTTATAGAAATGGATTAATTGAAGATATAAGAGCTAGCTAGCAAGAAGCCTGCCATATGCCATGCAATTGGTAATTAATGTAAGCCTCTGAGTAATTATTTTATAAGTGGCTATGGGACCACAGGCCGGGTGGGACTGAAGAAAAACTTTTCAACTACACATCACCATGACAAGTTCCTGGCAGAAGCGACTTGAAGGAGGAGGGATGGACTGTGGCTTAAAGTTTTACGGGATTCGTCATGGAGAGAAAGGCACAGCAGGGGGGGTGGCTCAGGCTTGGTCACTGGGAGCATAAAGTGGCAGGTTCATCCTGGCAGCTGACCAGGGAGCAGGGGGCAGGGGACAAGAACTAGGGTTCAAATGCATGCTCTAGTTACTTGTCTCTGTCAGGTAGGCACCAAACCTCCCCAGACAGTACTGGCTGAGGACCAGGTGTTTAAAATACATGAGCTGTGGGGAAGGATTTCAGAGTTGAACCATAAAATATGCTACCTTTTGTCACTTCTGCTGCTGAATACTTGTTCTTTCAAATTCTTTTCTGCCTCAGAGCTTATTGAAAGTCAACAAAGAGACATTTTTATGGTAGTGTGTTTTCTTTTGTTTGTTTTTATGAGAGAGAGAAAGCCAGCCATGCACACACATGCATGCACACATGGTTTGCATGTCTAGGTCAGAGGACAACTTGTAGGCATCTGTCTTAGTGTTCTGTTACTATGAACAGACGCCATGACCATGGGAACTCTTATAAAGGAAAACATTTAGTTGGGGCTGGCTTTCAGTTCAGAGGTTTAGTCCATTATCAGCATGGTGGGAAACATGCAGATGCAGGCAGACATGGTGCTGGATATGGAGGTGAAGAGACTAACACTGGACCTGGTGTGAGTGTTTGAAACCTCAAAGCCCACTCCTAGTGACACAATTCCTCCAATAGGCAACACCTACAAGGCCACTCCATGAGCCTATGAGAGCCATTTTCATTCAAACCACAAAAGCAAATGCTGTCTCCTTCCGCTGTGTAGGTCCTGGGGATTATGATCAACACCATCTCAATGGCCACCGAGTTGTTTTCTTAAGTATTTTTCTTATGACTGCTTCTTAACTTTCATGCACTCTTTCTTCTTCCTAGAAACCTCTTATTGATAGATCCCCTCTTAGGCTGCACCCTCAGTTAAATTAAACATTTTCCCGATACTTACATGGAGCATACAAAAGGTAGAGTTCCGAAGATAATAGAAGACACGTTGCTTCCATTTTATCTGAGAGGCCGTCTTGTTTTCTAATATTCAGCAAGTATGCTTTATTGGAAATACTTAGGACTAGAAATGTTTGAGATTTTGGAGTTTTGACATACTTTTGTAGATTTTTTTTCCAATTGCTCATTCATAATAGAAAAACATCCCAAATCTAATTTTTTTTTTTTTTAATGTTGCATTGATGTTCAGAATGTCTTAGATTTCAGAGCCTATTTGATATCAGGTTTTTTGGATTAGGGATGGTCAACCTATATTATAATAGAGTTTGTTCTGGAGATGTGAACAATATACTTAGGAATCACAGAAGAGAAAAGAACCAGTTTTGTTTAATGCAAACCACAGCATGCACATGCCAAAACACACATGTGTGCATGCATGTGTGTGCACAGTGCCATCTCTCCAATATAAAAAAAATTAAAACAGTTAACCGAGACTTCTTAACAAGGTAGGAAAAGGAAGTGCAGTAGCAGGTCGTAGTACCTGACAGGTGACGAGGAGGAGGGATGAGTGCTGTGTCTGGGATGTTAGTTCTGTGTTGGTGTTGATGTTAATGGGATGTTGTTAGGAGAAGAATGGTAAGAAAGCGCAGCTAGGAATATACATCGGAGTCAAGCTGTGATACAAAACATTTCAGCTTTGAAAACTATGAAATTTAAACTTTATTCTGTAGTTAATGATTTTGAACCTTTTAAGAATATAGTGGCTCTGTATAGTTGTATGAATGAATCCCCATATTTTTTATGTACTCTTGTTTGTTGGTTTTGTAGTTTGGAAATCATAGACAATAGGTAGTTAGGGTGAAACTGGGGCATGGAGACAGTGAAGATGCTGTTATGTGAGTTGAATGAGGCATTGGCATCAGAAATGCCTAAGAGGGAGTGCTTTATAGGGTTCAGATAGGACTTAGGGACCAAAGGGTGAAAAACGATGTGAGGGGAGGTGGTATTTCTGTGGTTGTTACTGAGTAGGAAACACTGGAGGAATGTTCAAGTTTGAGGGACATGTAAAAAGGGGAGAAGGGACTTTGGTTTCAAACAAATTAAACTTGTATTACCTGAGAACTTAGGAGCTGCTCTGGATTGAGCAAAAGTACCTGGGAGCAAATGAGGAGGGTTTCAGGTATCAAGAGACTCCAGTGAACACTTGTAGCTAGAGTTTTCTGCCTTGCTCACAGTCAGGACAAATCTTTGTCACCCGCCAGTCCCACAGCCGCTCAGACCCAACCAAGTAAACACAGACACTTATATAGCTTACAAACTGTATGGCCGTGGCAGGCTTCTTGCTAACTGTGCTTATAGCTTAAATTAATCCATTTCCATAAATCTATACCTTGCCATGTGGCTGGTGGCTTACCGGCGTCTTCACATGCTGCTGGTCATGGCGGCGGCTGCAGTGTCTCTCCGCCTCAGCCTTCCGCTTCCCAGAATTCTCCTCTCTCCTTGTCCCACCTACTTCCTGCCTGGCCACTTGCCAACCAGTGTTTTATTTATTGACCAATCAGAGCAATTTGACATACAGACCGTCCCACAGCAAACACTGATAAGACATTATCAGAAGGTGGGAAGAGGGATAGGAGAGATTAATACCTATCACATACTGCAAGATCTTTCAATGTCAGAGAGGTAGAGTAGGGATTTGAAAGAAGCTGTTGGTTATTAGCATTCGAGAGTAACTGGTAATTAACTGCATGTTGCTAAGATGCTCTGTGTTTTCATTGCCCCTTTGCATATCCTATAGTCTTCATTTAGTGTTTCTTGCCAAGGCTTTTAATATTTATTTCAGTAAATAGTGATTTACCAAAGTTGCCTTTGCTATTTGCTTATTTTTAAAGTAAAAATTCACCAGGCATGCAAATCCACACTTGTATACCAAGAGACTGAGGCAGCAGGATTGCTGTGAGTTTGAGGCTACCTTGGGTTACAGAGTCAGGCTTCCATCTAGAAAACCAAACAAATACTTCTTTAAAAAGGCAGTGGTGGCTCATGTCTTTAATCCCCATTACTTGGGAGGCAGAGGCAGGCAGATGTGAGTTCAAGGACAGCCTGGTCTACAGAGCAAATTTCAGGACAGCCAAGGCTACACAGAAACCCTGTCTCGAAAAACAAAATAACAACAAAAACGGGGTGGGGGGGTGTATAAGAAGAAGATAATTTGCTTCTCAAATGTTGTACTTGTGGGGCTGGATGGTCTTTTGGGAAGACACCCATATCAGGTGTATTCCCTTTGATCTGAAAGATTTAGTAGAAAAGATGAATTTCTATGCAGCTTTTAAGCACATATTTGGTTAAATAGGCTTAAGTTGAGGCAACATGGAACTTGAACATGGAACTTTTTATCAGTACCAGTGTGATTTATAGAATGCGGGCATGAATTGATCAAAGCAATAAAGTTCCAAATAAAAACTTTCAACTCTACCTTTTAAAGTCAAGTACTTGCTGTGTGTGTATGTGTACACATCTGCATAAATATTTACAAAGTCTGCTTAAAGCTTTAAAATTATGGAAATGGTAGACTGGAGGTTCTGCAGAGATTCTTTTTCTGGACAGTAAGTTTCTCTCATTCATGCTCATTCTTACTCTCATTCATATATATATATATATATATATATATATATATATAGTCTCCCTCCCCCTGCTGACTTGAGATCACAGTTCTTCTGCTTCAGCTTCATAAGTGCCGAGGTTATAAGCATGTGCCCACCACATCTGGCTTAGAAAACTCTCTAAAAATTATATCCTAGGACTGGGACTGTAGCTCAGTAGCAAAGTGCTTTTGTAGTGTACCTAGGATCCTAATAACAAGAAAGGCTAAAAAAGTAATTCTATATAAATTGAAGATGTTAAAAGTTGTATGCTAGATATTCTCTGTGCTTTTTCCTCTGGAGAAGGTAGCAACAATATTCCCTTACAAAAATCTGTAAAAGATAAGAACTTCACGGGCTGGAGAGATGGCTCAGAGGTTAAGAGCACTGACTGCTCTTCCAGAGGTCCTGAGTTCAATTCCCAGCAACTACATGGTGGCTCACAACCATCTGTAACGAGATGTGGTGCCTCTTCTGGCCTGCAGTCATACATGCTGTATACATAATAAATAAATAAATCTTTAAAAAAGGATAAGAACTTCAGCTGTAAGACGTATGTGTGCATGTGTGTGTATGTGTTTTTTAAGTACCAAGCTATTATTCATTCCCTTAAAATTTACTTCTGATACAGAATCAGTGATAATTGGAATTATGATAATTACGATTATCCTACATTCATACCATACTAAATTGAACACTTCATTATTTTGTATCCTAAGCCATTTCAGGTATATTGATTTCTTAAGAATTTTATATAATCCATAGATGAAACATTTCAAGAAGTTTATATAATTTGACCCTCATCTAAATTCCTTTAGTAGTATAAGGAATATTTGCTTCTTTTAGTTAATGCCCATATTCTGTACTTAGATATCAGTGTACACATTCAGTACCAGAATAATTTCAGTTTTACCTTTATTTCTCATCTTAAAATTCACAAAAAACCCTGAAGTAAATTTTCCTAGTGTTACTTTGTAGAATTCTATCTTTATATTAGATTTCACTGAATATTTGAAAGAAAAAAGATTCATGGGTTTAGAGTTTTATGTATTTTAAATTTTCTGTGTTAGTAAATTATGAATTTTCAGTAGGTCTCCTTTGAGTAGTAGTATTACAATAGTTGCCATTCTAATAAAAATCTAATTGTATATTTTAACTTATCTTTAATTATAAATGTCTATAATTTGAGTTCTAAGTTATAAATAAGAGATAAGCTTATAAAACTAATATGTTAAATAACTTAAGTAACTTTATTAAGGTGTAAGTCACATGCCATAAAATTTCTTGTTTTGAAGTGTGTATTGTAGGGGGCTGGAGAGATGGCTCAGCAGTTAAGATCACTGGCTGCTCTTCAGAGGACCCAGGTTCAATTCCTAGCACCTACATGGCAGCTCACAACTGTAACTCTAGTTGCAGGGGATCTGAAACCCTCACATAGACATACGTGCAGGAGAAACACCAATGCACACAAAATACAAACAAATGATTCTTTTAAAACGTGTGTACTGTATTTATTTTTTAATGGCCCAGAGGGAAAAATTATATATATATATCAGAAAGAGAGCAAAACATGATAAAAATGTACTAATGTAATAGATTTTGGAAATTCTGGGTGAAGAAAATGGAAGTTTCATGTACACTGTTCTTGGCAGCTTTTTTCCAAATTTTAAAATCTTTCTTTTTTCCTTTTTTTTTCTTGAGGCAAAGTCTCTCTCTGTATCTGTCCTGGAACTTACTTTGTACACCAGGCTGGCCTTTAACTCACAAAAATCCACCTGCCTCTGCCTCCTAAGTGCTGGGATTTTCAAGATAAAATATTTGTAAAATGAGAAAAGCATACAGGTTTTTTTTTTAATATATCTTGCAGTAGTATAATCACCATCTACTTCCAGAATAAAAACTTCAAACATAAGTTTTTCTGTGCTTATTTTTCTATCTTTCTTTTCACTTGATATCCCAAAGTTGATGTGTCTTCTCATAAACGTTTATCATTTTCTTAGTGTTTTCATCTGTTGAACTAAAAGTAAGGTATGTTATAAGCGAAAGGACATAACATACAGTTAAGGTTCTTCAAAGGAAAGTAGTTTTTTTTTTTTTTTTAATTTTTAGGTACATTGGTGCTTTGTGTGTCTGTCTGTCTGTCTGTCTGTCTGTCTGTGTGAGGTGAGTGTGTTGGATCCCCTAGAACTGGAGTTGCAGGCAGCTGTGAGCTGCCATGTTGGTGCTGGGATTGGGGGTCCTTTGGAAGGGTACCCAGTGCTCTTATTTAACCCTGAGTCATCTCTCCAGCCCCAAGTAGTCACTTTTTAAAAAACGGGAAAAAGTGAATTGCTTTAAACTATAGTGTACCTCCTTTGTTGGAGCTTTTGTGCAGTCTTTGAATTGTTAGTCATGTGCAAAACTATGCCTACTTCTTAAAACTTGAATTGGGGAAGGAAATGCTTTGCCCAACATGGCAGATACTTCATTTGAAGAGCATTTGTGCCGGGCGTTGGTGGCGCACGCCTTTAATCCCAGCACTTGGGAGGCAGAGCCAGGCGGATCTCTGTGAGTTCAAGGCTTGCCTGGGCTACCAAGTGAGTTCCAGGAAAGGCGCAAAGCTACACAGAGAAACCCTTTCTCGAAAAACCCAAAAAAAAAAAAAAAAATTATGAAGAAGAGCATTTGTTTCTTTCATACTGCTTTGTTCATTGTACACTCTCTTCCCTGGTAGGTAGAAGCACTTTGGAAAGCTGCCTTGATTTTTTTTTTTTTTAAACGTATGAATTGAAGCAGTATAGTCAGTTTAATAATCTTTTGATAAAGTGAAATTTTAATAATTTTTAGATACTTTTTATTAATAGGTGATACTATTTGTCCTTTCACTTAATTACAACATACAGCCTCTTGTTAAATGCAGATATAACTGATCAAAATTAGCCAGCACATGCACTTTATTCACAGTGTTATAGAACCTGGAAAATTATATTGCACTGCTATTTATATATATTTTTTTATCCTGAATATACTAGTAAATTATTAATCTGATGCTAAAATACAGTTACATTAAAGTCCAACTGAGTTCTTAATTTCTTTCTTCCTTTTTTTCCCCCTGGTATTTTGAGACAGGGTTTCTCTGTATAATAGTCCTGGCTGTTCTGAACTCTCTTTGTAGCTGAGGCTGGCCTCAGATTTACAGAGATGCACCTGTCTCTGCCTCCCAAGTGCTGGGATTATGGCTGAGTTTTTCTAATCCCCTGATTCAGAATGACCCACAAAAGGGTCTGCCAATGGACGAATAGAAATAAGACATTTTTCCTTTAGGGTAGAGGAGAAAAAATTTATAGAAACTGGTTTTTAAATTCTGTACTCCCAGTTGGGCGACGGGCGACGGTGGCACACGCCTTTAATCCCAGCATTTAGGAGGCATAGGCAGGTGGATCTCTGTGAGTTTGAGACCAGCCTGGTCTACAAAGGGAGTTTGAGGACCACCAGGACTGTTACACGGAGAAACCCTATCTCAAAAAACCAAAACAAAACAAAAATCTGTAATCCCAGCACTTGGAAGGTTTAAGCAGGAGGATTACCCTGAGTTCAAGTCTATCTGGGGCTATATAGCAAATACCAGGACAGCTAGGGCTACATAGCATCCTATTTCAAAGAAAGGGGTGGTGGTGGATTTTTATATCAACAGATTCAAGTCTAAAGTATTTTCCACAAAGTATATAACACTGCTTATGAGTCATAAGATTGAATAAAATATGTTTTCTCATCATCTTATTTATTTTCTGTAGGAAAAGTAGCCATCAAAAAAGAAGACTTGTGTAATCACAGTGGTAAAGAAACTTGGTTTTCACTGCAGCCTATTGACTCAAATTCAGAAGTTCAGGTAAGTTAAATACTACAAGAGATTGTGACATACAGAAAATGAGTGAAAACTAACCAGTTATACTAGTTTATACTGTTAGAACTTGTTATACCTTATTTTAAGTTCTAATGCCACACATTATAGACTTTCAAGTAATAGAGAGCTGGAAGGAAGTAGCTTTTCCATGCAGGTATAAAAATGAGGTATGAATGGTGAGATAGCTCACTGAGTAAAGGTGCTTGCTGCTAAGCCTGATGACCTGAGTTCAACCCCAGAGCCATCTCTCACCTCTGACCTCCATTACACATTCATGGTACCTACACACATATACATACATGTACATACATGTATTCATAGAGGACTAACCGCAAAATAAAATCTAACAGTCATATTTAAAGAAGGTATTCATGAGCAAAGTACAATATATATGTGTGTGTGTGTGTGTGTGTGTGTGTGTGTATGCCACAGTGAAATCCATTAATAAATGCAATTGATGTGCATTGATTAAAAAAAAAATAATGTCTGGCTGTATATACCTATGAGTTTAGGAGTTTTGTTTGCTTGGTTTTGAGACAGAGACTCTCCATGAAGCCCTGGCTGTCCTGTAGCACACTATGTAGACCAGGCTGGCCTGGAACTAAGAGGTCCACCTGCCTTTGCCTTCCGGTACTGAGAGTAAAGGTGTGTGCTACCACACTCAGCAAGAGGACATCTCCTTTTTTTCTGAGTCCCAGTCACAAATTACTGCCTTTTTTAAAAAGAGGAAAACATTTTAAAGGAAAAGATGTTTTATTAACTCTAACCTTTAGGGGAATACATGGAAGTCTGATTTTATTCATTCTCATTAGGATGCTTTTATTCCATTTCTAATAAACTAGACTTGGAAAAAAAATGTTACTCATTTAAACCATGCCTGGGTCTGCAGTGCACAGCCTTCATTCCCACCTCCCTGCCCTGCTCATCTCTTTGTTTGAAAGGGTATCACTATGCTTGTTAGTTTCTTCTTTTTTCTTGCCAAAATAAAAGGCATAGATTCTGTATGTGAACAGAAATGTATGCTTAGCCAAGTAGTTGGAGTTTCTAGAAAGCTTGAATTTCTATGACTTAGAAATTATTTCCAAGAGAATCTTTTTTTTTGTAACCCTATTTATTAAATACAGTAATGATTGTGAGACCATTTCTAAGAGCATAACTGAAGTCAGGATTCTTCTTCTCTTAAGGAGGCTGTAATTCACCACTAGGACTCAAACAGATGTTTAAGACAAGGGGAAAGCATACCCACAGATACTTTGCAAATAAAGTGTGTCTCCATTTTCTCATTACCTTTCATGCAATCTCTGTGATTAAATTCTCAAAAAAAAAAAAAAATAAGTATTGTGTGCTGAAATCCCTTAAGTACAAAAGATAGCCAAGACTTTTTGTTTAATCTACTCCACCCCATTTTAATATTCTTTTCATTTGACCATAAGTATTATTCAGATCCCAGGGGTACAGCATTGTTAATGACCCAGGTGAGAAGCAATGTGAGGAAGTAGAGTGGGCTGGAATTAGAAGTCAGAAAACTTTTATTTGGTGTCTTTATATAGTCATTTTAATGGTCTTGAATTTCTGTAAAATGAGAATAAAACTCTCCATATTTGGCTCATATGGCATGAGAAGATACTTTAAAATTATTAATTTTGAGCTGTGTTGTGGTTCAGTTTGGTAGAGTGTTTAACTAACATGCACAAAGCCCTCAATGTGAACCCAGTATCACAGAAACTGAACAATGGTGTAAGCCTGTAATTCAGAACCCAGGAAGTGAAGGCAGGATTTTAAGGCCAGCCAGGCCACATAAACTCTTGTTTTTAAAATAAACAAACAAACAACCTGTTAACTTCTATACAAATGTAAATTTTTTTAACACCTATCAGTCTGGTGGTATTTTAGTTAGGGTTTCTATTGCTGTGATGAAACACTGTGACCAAAAAAGCAAGTTGGGGAGGAAAGAGTATTTGGCTTACACTTCCATATTGCTGTTTATAGTAGTTTGAATAAAAATGGCCCCATAGGCTCATAGGAAGTGGCACTATTAGGAAGTGTGGCCTTGCTGGAGGAAGTGGATTGTTCAGAGTGGGCTTTGAGGTCCCTGATGTTCAAGGTAGGCCCAGTGTGGCATTCTCTTGCTGCTGCTTGCAGATCAAGATGTAGAACTCTCAGCTCCTTCTCCATCATGTCTGCCTACTTGCTGCCATGCTTCTTGCCATTACGATAATGGACTAAGCCTCTGAATTATAAGCCAGCCCCAATTAAATGTTTTTCTTTATTATGGTTGCCATGGTCATGGTAACTCTTCACAGCAGTAAAACCCAAACTAAGACACTATTCATCATCGAAAGAAGTCAGGGCAAGAATTCAAACAGGACAGGAGCCTCGAGGCAAAGCTGATGCAGAGGCCATGGAGGGATGCTGCTTACTGTCTTGCTCCTCATGGCCTGCTCAGCCTGCTTTCTTATAGAACCCAGGACCATCTTTACAGGGGTAGCACCACTCACAATGGGCTGGGCCCTTCCCCATCAATCACTAATTAAGAAAATGCTCTACAACTGGATCTTATGGGGTCATTTTCTCAATTGAAGTTCCCTCCTTTCAAATAACTCTAGCTTGTGTCAAGTTTACATAAAACTAGCCAGCACAGGTATCTTTCTAATGTAGCCTTATAAAATTACCAACTTACTTTTTCTTTTTTGACACATGATTTAATACATTTTCCATACACAATCCCCATAAGAAATTGGGTATGGTGTTAGCCTTTTTGGAGATGGTGTTCACTGTATGCCTGAGATTGGCATCTACACACCTTAGAAACCTCCCTAGTGTTGGGGTTATAGGCACACATCCCTGCACCCATCTAATCTTTCTAATAATTTGAACAAAAGGAAAGATAAGAAAAGGCTTTGAGATTTTGACTGAAATGGATTAAAAGATTCATTACAATTTATTTGTTAAGTATATTCTTAACAAATAACAAATAAAAAAGTTAATGACCAGCATAACTTTTCTGAAGGATTTAAGAGTTTAGTTCTGAAAATATAGGGCTCTGTAGAGTATTCTTTATGTAGTACTTGGAGATGGCACTAGAAACACATACTGTGGGGCAGGCTTTTGACAGTATATATATAAAACTTGTCACCTCTGAAACAGGAAAATACTTGAAGTAGCGTTTATGTTTTATATATATAGTATCAGCATTTAAAATTTTAGTACTGTTTCATGACCACTAGTCATTAACCTTTCCAGAACCTTTATCTTAAATGGTAATTAGCAAGATTTACCCGATATTTAAAATAGATTTTAAAAGAAGAATGCTGTAGGAGGTGGGAGGGATGGATAATGCTTTCCAAGATACTATGCGATCATTGGGAATATTATTATTTAGCCACAAACCAATCTGAGGATACCACATTAACCTTGTTAGTATAAAAGATAGGAACACAGCCCATAATTAATACAGAGCCTAATCTGTTAATGTTTGTTTGCCCTGTATGTTTTATAACTTTAAAAAAATGAAAAAATAAAAATAGATGACAATATAGAAAGTGATGAGAGTGAATTTAGCCAGGACTCAATCTAATGATTACCTTTAGTAATTGTAAAAGTATGTACCAGGTATAACAGTGAGCACTTAATGTACATTATATCACATAAGCACCAAGAGGTAGATAGTAGCAACCTCATTTTACAGATTATTTTAATAGGATTAAAAGATGCACTGACTTCTCCAGTCACAGTAACTGTGACTCTGCTGGAGATCTGTATGACTCCTAATCACAGCACTATACTGTCTTTCAGGAATGGGGGTGCATTAGAAAGTTCCTAGGGGGCTTTTTGAAGTGAATTGCAGGAACTTCCTGTGAGTGGTAGTCACCAGGCATTTGCACAAAGGCCGCATGGTCGTTGGCTGTTATGTTCTAACAGCAGCAGACGAGATAGAAACTCATGTAATTAAAAGTGATCTTTGAAGGGATATAAATTCTCATAAAATGCTTGACCGCCACAGAGAAAGTTTTTATTTGGGGCTTTGATGGGTGAGCACTGTGTGTCCTGTCATCCTCAGCAGTAGGCTCCAACCCTGCAACTGTGCGTACTGGAAAGCAGGTGGGCCTGAGAGCCGCTGAGTGATTTCTTTCTTTTCATGTTTATGTTCTTACTGGAAGGCAGGTGGGCCTGAGATCCGCTGAGTGATTTCTTTCTTTTCATGTTTATGTTCTTTTAACTTTCATTTTGCAGTAATAGTTAATGTTTTCTTCTTTCACTCTCATTTTAACAACTTTATACTTGTAAAATAAAGAGAAAACTATTTGGGAGGGTGTTACAGGGGAATTGTGTGTGATAGGTGTATGTGTGTGCAGGTGCTCATGTGCATGTGAGCGTGTGCATTTAGAGGCCAGAGAATAAGCTCGGGTGCCATTCCTCAAGATACTCCCTCTTGCTTTTTAAGATAGGGTCTCTCATTGGGACCTGGAGTTCACTAATTTGCTAGGCTTACTGGTCAGTGAGTCCCAGGGATCTACCTGTCTGCCTCTCTGGCATTGGGATTACAAGTACACAATATCATGTCTATCTTTTTAAAAAGTTATTTCTTTAATTTTTTGAGATTATAATATAATTACACTGTTTCCTCTTTCCTCCCTCTAAGCCCTCCCTTATTCTTTTTCAAATTCATGTCTTCTTTTTTCATTAATTGTTGTTACATACATGTGTACATATGTGTATATATGTATGTATGTGTATACATATATGTTTTTAAGTTCATAACTACAGCCTGCTCAATCTGTATAAGGTTACCTGTATGTATATTTTTGGGGCCTGTCATTTGGTATCAGATAACCAACTGGTGTGCTCTTCACTGGGGAGGACTATTTCTCCTGCTCTCAGCACTCCTTAGGTGGCTAGAGTTCTTTGTTTAGGGTTGGTGCCTCCTAGGGTACCCCACCCCAAGCCCCATTGGCTTTCTGTTGGTGAAACTTTATGGGTGTACT